ACTCTGTGAGTAGCCGGTTGCAGCCTAATGGCCTCCCTTCACACGATCACCCCTTGGTCCGGGTAGTGCAGCCTCGTGGCTGGAGTCCATGTAACCCGCCCCAAGAATCAGGGCAGTGTGACCCAATGGTCAGGGTCCATATAACTCGCTCCTCACGTGGGAGCAATGCGGCCCAATGGCCAGGGTCCATACAATCCCCCTTGCAAGTGGGGTAGTATGGCCTAGCAGCCAGAGACCATAGGATTCCCGCAGTGCAGTGGGGAGGGATGGTAGGGGGAACCGAGGCCTTCCCTTGTCACCGGGTCCCAACCCAGGGCCCTGGTAGTGGCAAGATCCCCTTGCCACCAGCTCGGCGGGGATCCGCCCGCAACATGCCAAGCATCTGTGTGGCTCTAACGCTGTTTGCCTCTAAAGTTCCCCTGGGTCACTTCCTACCATAAACACCGGGTTCTCTGCTGCAGGCAGTCCTCCGGTCTGTTCCCCTCCTGTGACATACTCCATCTGGGTATCAGGGTGCGTCCTGGCTTGGCTGGCCTCCATATCCTGGTGCACAAGCTGTCCCTTCTCAGGAGCTGGCAGTGTGCCTCCTTCCCCTCCCACGGTCAGCCCCGACTGGACAGCTCTGCAGGCTTTTATACCTAGCTCTCCAGTTGGAGCATGCCCAGCAGAGCTTCCAGGGCGTGGCTTCTGTGGTACCAGTGTGGGGCCACTCTGCCCCGTCACCCCCTCCCCCAACCCATCTGCCTTGGACCTGGTACAACACATCCATGGGGAGGTGAAGGGACACCTTGAAAAGTGAAGGAGGACCACAAAAAGCACACGGACAAGCACAGACATGGCTTCATCCGAAAGGTATGGCTTTCTACAGAACACATCCTTCTGGACAGACCCTCTTGGAAACTAGACTACTGGTTCCTTGGCCTGTACCGGATTCAGCGCCAAATCAGCGTGGTCACCAGCTCCAGCTCCAGCTCCATCGATCCCTTAGCGTCGACCCCATATTCCACATCTCACTTCGCAAACCATGCACTGAGAACAGATTTCCCCACAGAGCTCAATCACTGCCTGCACCATTTCAAGTACCGGGTCAGGAGGAATATATTGTTCACGAACGCCTCAGCTATAAGACCAAGGGGGGGAAACTATGGTACCTGACTGATTGTGACAGTTATGGCCTGGAGGAATGCACTTGGGAGCCAGCTGGAAACATTCACCCTCCCACCCTGATTCAGGCCTATCATAGGAGCCACCCTGAGAAACCTGGACCCACATCACCCAGTGGGTACCCCGGGGAGGGGGTGATGTCATGACCCATGGGTCTCGAACTCGGGTCCTCAGGGGTCATGGGTGTGGCCAAACCCTCCACCTGGTAGCCTGCTGAACAGCTTACCTGGGACCCATGAAGCCCAGCCCCAGGATGAGGCTCACCCTCGAGATCCAATTGGCAGCATCCCAGAGTGGCTGTTAGGCCCCAGGCCCGACTGCAGCCAGCAGCAGGAACAGGAAGCTGTCTGAACAACTAGGCCCCATCGTGCTCTAGACTTTGTGTTTCCACCTCTGCCTCCTGGTCCCGGTGCTTGATTTCCTGGCGTCCTGACCGAGTGTGACTCCTGGCATCTGAACTGTGTTTCAGACCTCCACTTGGCTCCTGCCTCCGACCCCCCGGGATCCTGACCAAGCCGACGCTTGACTCCTGTCTCGTGGATGCAGGGGCCGGCTCTGACCCCTCCGTCTGGCCTCCCATGGCCACGACTCATGGGGGGATGTCAGGGAACACTAAACCGCGTTGTGCAGTTCAGCCGCTAGATGGCGCAGTGTGTAAAATACCTGGTTGACGCCAGCATCCAGACCTGGCAGCGCATTAAAGGCTCTGATGCTGAACATGGCTGGTGTGTCCCCTGCTAAGAAGGAAACGGTGTAGCCTGTTGTCCCAGAGTCAGTGCTCTGAATGAAACCAGCCCGGACTCTGGTTTAGCATGCCTCCTCTCATGCTGTCACATGGCTTTGGCCTTCCTGGGTGTGACCTCGAAGCATTCAGCCCCCTGTTCTCACCGTGCACTTCCCGCAGCGAGTCCCTCTGGATGGCACCCCTGGGGAAGCCAGAGGGGCCCTGAACCTAACTCCACAGTCAGCCGTGAGTCTCAGCCAGCGTGTAACACAGATAGAGTTGCCGGGTGTCCGATGTTTGACCGGAATGCCAAGTCGAAAAGGGACCGTGGTGGCTTCGGTCAGCACCGCTTACTGGGCCGTTAAAAGTCCGGTTGGCAGCACAGCAGGGCTAAGGCAGGCTCCCTGCCTGCCATGGCTCAGTGCAGCTCCTGGAAGTGGCGGCATGTTCCCCCTCTAGTTCCTATGTGTAGAGGCAGCCAGGGGGTTCCGCGCACTGCCCCAACCCCGCAGCTCCCACTGGCCGTGGTTCCCAGCCAATGGGAGCTGTGGGGGCGGCACCTGTGAATGGGGCAACGCACAGAGCCGCCTGGCTGCGCCTCCGTGTAGGAGCCGGAGGAGGAACATGCCGGCACTTCCAGGAGCTGCCTGAGGTAAGCGCCGCCCGGAGCCTGCACCCCTGAGCCACTCCGCCCCATGCCCCAACCCCCTGCCCCAGCCCTGATCCTCCACCCGTCCCCCAAACCCCTTATCCCCAGCCCTACCCCTCCCACACCCTGAGACCCATATTTGTGGCCCCACCCTGGGGCCTTCACCCCCTCCCACACCCCAACCCCTTCAGCCAGCCCGGTGAAAATGAGCATGTGAGTGAGGGTGGGGAGAGTGAGCGACAGAGGGACGGGGGATGGAGTGAGTGGGGTCTCTGAGAAGGGGTGGGGCCTCAGAGGGGGGCAGGTCAAGGGTGTTTGGTTTTGTGTGAGTAGAAAGCTGGCAACCCTGAACACAGAAGGTTTACTAGTCGACAGGAACACAGCACAGAACAGATCTTGTTAGCACAGAAAGCAGGAACATTCAGTAAAGTCCATCTTGGGGGGACAGGAGCCCAGAGCCAGGACCCTGGCCCTCCCCCTGAACCCTAAGCCATCAGAGACTGACCCACTTCTAGCTGCCTGGCACCCAACACACACGTTGCCCCTCCTCTGGTCTTTGTCTCACTTCCTGGGGAAAGTATCATCTGGTCGCATCCCCCTCCTGGGTCTCAGGTTATAAAGGACACCCTCCATTGCTTATGGGGAGATGGCTGGAGCCACCTCACCTGCCCCCGAGGGTCTCAGCAAAAGTGACAGACCCTTATTGCCACCACCTAGGCATTGGTGCAGCACACAGGGAAACTGAGGCACACACAGTATTCATGCAAAACAGTAAGACTCACATAGGCTCACATACAACATAAAAAGGGGGAAAACCCACTTAGTCACACGCATCCATCTCTGGTACAGGAACACGGCACATAGTTCCTGTTCCCATAAGCATGGTTTCATTCAGCTGGCTGTTGACTAGTCCTGTGTAAAACAAGCTCACCTGCACCAATAACTACATTCTGTTGCAAGCCTAGAGCGTCTCAGAGCATGTCTACACCACAGACATAAAGTTGACCTATGGTAGGTCAACTTACAGGCACCACTGTGATGGCTGATGTCCATGTTGCCCTCCTTCTGTCAGTGGTGTGTGTCCTAACCAAGAACGCTTCCACTGACTGAAGAGGGGCAAGGGGGGAGGGTGCTGAGGGCCAGAGCTCTCGACTCCACTCGGCTTCCCGCTCTCAGCCAGGAATGGGGGGCAGCTGCCCGGGCTTCTCGCCTCCCCATTTCCTGCTGGGAGCAGCAGGGAGCTGTCCGGGCTTCTTGGCTCCTTGAGTGGGGAGCCAGGCGGGCACAGCCAGGCTGGGAGTGGGGAGCTGGGGGCAGCTGGGCTTTAGCTGCCTGGCTTTCTTCTCAATTTCATGGAGACAGCCAACAGCCAACACTGCAACACCCTAACTATACTGACATAAGGCCTACGCCTCTGGTGGAGGTGGAGTTATTATGTCAGTGTATGTAGTGGGGTGGCTACCCCACTCCTAAAACAGAAGGGGTTAAAAGCAGCCCTGGAGAGGGCAGTGGCTGGGGATGGTTGACTGGGGAAGCAGCCGCAGCTGGGCCATGGCCCAGTCAGGCCCCAGCTGGCCTGTAGCACAAGGCTGGGAGCCAGAGGCCCCAGGAGTCTCTCTCCAGGCTGGGAGAGAGCAGGGCCTGCTGGCCTGCTTGACAGGGGACTGAGGGTGGTGCCATGCTGGGGAAGGAGCAGGCTGAGTGGGGCGCTCCAGGCTGGCAATTCCCCAGGCTGTAGGGCTTGGTCCAAGGCCCATAGAGGTACTGGGAGGCAGAGGAAGGCAGCAGGTCTGAACCCCCTTGCCTATGATGAGTGGCCTTTACACGGCAGTCTGCCCTAGGGAGCGGGGGCTTGGTGATGACTGGCAGTAGCCCAGACTGAGGCAAGGTGGGGATAGTGGGTTGGGGGTTCCGCAGGAAGGGGAGACCCAGAGGCAGAGTGTGGGGATACTGCCCGGGGGCAGAACCCCAGAGAAAGGGGCACCGGGATCTGTGAGGGACACGTGGGCCAGAGCTGTGCGGATCACAGGCCTGCAGAGGGCACTCCAGGTGGAAGAAGAGCTAATTCCCAATGACCCACAGGAGGCGCTGCAGGGGTGAGTCCTGCAGTCTCACGGTGTAGTACGGCACTTACATTGGCAGAACAAGGCTGTAATGTGTACACTGATATAATTAGGTCGACTAGGGTTGCCAATCCTTCCAGATTGGCCAGGAGTCTCCCGGAATTGGCCTCAATCTCCTGGTTGCTATTGAAAGCAATCTGGGAGATTCTAATAGGCCAAAAGTCCAGTTCGCGGCACAGCGACGCTAAGGCAGGCTCCCTCCCTGCCCTGGCTCCGCTTGGCTCCCGGGAGCGGCCAGCATGTCCCTATTGCAGGGACAATCAGGGAGGCTCTGCATGCTGCCCCTGCCCCCAGCGCTGCTCTGCAGCTCCCATTGTCCAGAAACCATGGCCAATGGGAGATGCGGAAGCAGTGCCTGCAAGCAGGGGCGGCGCGCAGAGCCACCTGGCTGCCCCTGAGCCTAGGAGCTGAACATGCCAGTCGCTTCCGAGAGCCACCTGAGGTAAGCGCTGCCCGGCTGGAGCCTGCACCCCTCACCCCCTCCTGCATCCCAATCCCTGCCCTGAGCCCTCTCCCACACCCAACTCCTTCCCAAAGCCTGCACCCCACACCCCCTCCTGTACCCCAACCACTGCCCCAGGCTCAGGGAGCCTGGAGCCCCCCCACTCCAAACCCCTTGGCCTACCCCCCCAGCCCAGAGCCGGTACCCCAACCCCCTGCTGGTGAAAGTGAGTGAGGGTGGGGGAGAGTGAGTGACAGAGGGACGGGGGAGGGAGTGAGAAGGGGCGCAGGGGGCAGGGACTTAGGGAAGGGGTGGGGCAAGGGTGTTTGGGTTTGTGCGATTAGACAGTTGCAACCCCTAAGGTCGACGTAAGCTACCTTACCTTGATCTTACTGTGTAGTGTTGACCAGGTCTCAGTGTCTGCACATTGGCTGCCTAGGCAGAACCTGCTGATTTGCTGATCAGGTTGTTTCTTGCATTTATTTTCAGTGAGGTCTTGCAAAGGTGCTCCTTCTGTCATGCTCTGGTCCTGTGTGACACCTAGATACCCAGGCTTTGGTTCATGGTCCAGCCTGGGGCCGTTCAGAAAGCTGTTTGTTGGCTTTTGTATGGTTACAGTCTGAAGCAGCTGGAAATAATCTTTTTGGTACAAAGTTTGTCTCCATCCTTGGCAGCAGTGGCCAGCTCTTTCATGTCACCATTCTGTGATTGAAACCCTGGTCCTCTGCTTCCAGACAGCTGTCATCTGCATAGATAAAATGCCAGGTCGTGGTGTTCGGGAAATCATTTGTGAAGAGGTTGAAAGGTGTCAGAGCTAGAACTGAGCCCTGAAGTAGACCCTTGTTGTGGGACCTTCACATGTTGGTGTTTGTCCAAAGTGAAGCTTGGAACCCGTGGCCTCTCGGCCATAGCCCTGAGAGCCCACTGCAGGCGGCCCAGTGACCGTCTCTAAAGGAGGCCAGTGTGCCACATCGTGTCACATGCAGCTGTGAGATTTATGAATTCTGCTTGGCCTAGCCACCATGCTCGCTGTGGGGGTGAGTGCTAGCCCGTAATCACGGGTACTGCGGTTTGATCTGAAACTTGCCTGAGCTACATGCAAGAGATCATGAGCAGTGGGGCACTTTGATGAAGGCTGAGAGCTTTCAAGGAATTTGTACGTGCAGCTTAGCTAAGAGAGGGTGCAGCAACTTGTTCAGTGTCAATGGTCTCTCTCTCTTCCCCTCCCCTGCCCCCTCCCCGCCCCAGTTTTGGCCAGGCTGTTACTTTTGCTCTGCGCCAGATCTTATGTATTTTATTTGCCTGGATAATGCTAGTGTGACGAAGTGGGCCTGTTCTTGATGTTTCCTCCGAGCATTGCGGGGGTGCCTCGGTTTCCCCTATGCAGTTCTTGAGTCTCTAGGTGGTGGGGTAAGGGTGTATGATCATTGCAGAGCCCTAGAGGGCAGGTGTGTGCAGGGGTCTGGACACAGAGAATGGACACCCTGTTTCCTGGCAACTGATGGCCTGGGCCCTTCCCCCCCTGCAAGGTGAGAGCTGAAGGGTTGGAGAACAAAGGAATCAGGTGACCACCTGGCCGGGGAAAGGAACAAAGCCCAGAGGAGTTTGGGGCTGGCTGGGACATGGAGTGAAGTGCAGACGTGGTTGTCTGGCTCACTGCCCCCCAAAATGGACCCAGCTGAGGGGTCCCGTTCTCTGCACCTGCAAGCTCTGTTTTAGACCATGTTCCTGTCGTCTAATAAACCTTCTGTTTTACTGGCTGGCTGAGAGTCACGTCTGACTGCGAAGTTGGGGTGCAGGACCCTCTGGCTTCCCCAGGAGCCCCGCCTGAGCGGACTCGCTGTGGGAAGCGCACGGAGGGGCAGAGGATGCTGAATGCTCCGAGGTCAGACCCAGGAAGGTGGAAGCTGTGTGAGCTGTGTGTCCTGCAGACAGGGTGCTCACAGAAAGGCGACTGCCCCAGAGTCCTGACTGACTTCATGGGGAGCAGTTCCAGAGCATCGCCCAGGGACTCCGTGACAGCTAGATAGAAAGATGGCTATTGGCTAGCCTAGTGCTACTCCCTCCCTAGGCTGCTGCTCAGTGCAAAGTACCCACTGACCAGCTGCTGCATCATGTATTTTCTCCAATGGTCCTTGCTACTCGCCCACCTTTCAGCTGCTTGCTGGCTGCAGAGGGATCTGTGGGATTGGCTCTGGGGGCCAGAGCAGTGCATGCTCAGCTCACATTTCTCCATCTCCTTTCTGCCATCTCAGGTCACCCAGGCCATCCATGGAAACCGTCTATTCTGCCCTCCAGGATGAGATCCATGCCTTCGAGGCACATGTGCAGAGCTGCCAGAAAGACTTTGACCTGCACACGCTTTACAACGTGCTGCTGCTGCTCCTCCCCGGGAGCCCGACCTGGGAGGTGCAAAGCCTAGAGCAGCTGGAAAAGCTTGTCGCAGGCAGGGACTGGCCAGGCCAGGACACCGTGAAAATTACAGGCAGCGCTGAGAGTTGTGATGTCCCTGGCTATGTCGCCTGGCTCAGCTCCTACCTGGGGTATTTAAATGCTTTAAAAGAGACGTTTGATGCTAAAGTCGTGTTCCCTTTGTGTGAGCACCTGTATGTCCACGATGAGCTGGATGTCAGGGCCGAGCGCCAGTCTCCTGTGGGTTCCTACAGCAGGTCTGGTGCTGGGCATAGGGGGGAGAAGAGGCCCCACGCTGTGACCTCCATTGCAGATATTGCCAAGCAACTGTTTGCTGTCAGGAGGAAGTGGGCCTTGCTGCTCAACCGGCGGGTGATTGACGACCGAGTCTTCAGCCCCCAGAGCCTGTGCGCCCTGCAGGGCTTTGCCAACATTGGCCCCGTCGTGAAGGTTCTGAGGCTGGTCCCTGACATCTTTCACAAGAGCTTGGCCACGGCAGCGCTTGGCAGGCAGTGGCTCAGTCTCCATGGAAGCAGATACAGCGTCTTCCAGCTGCCATCAGAACCAGGCCAGGAGAAGGGCGAGTGTAGAACTGGGCTGGCTCCTGGCACCTCTGAGCCCTGGAGGAATGGAGTGGCCATATGCCTCCCTGAGTCTGCCAACGGCTGCAGCAGTTTCTCAGGAGGCCAGTTACACCCCAGACCCAGGAGAAGCAGCAGCAGCTTCAGCTCCCATGATGGAGGAGGCTGGCTGGGCAACGTCAGTGCGATGCGAACCAAGCTGCGGGAGAGTCGAGAGGAGCTGATGGCCCTGCTCTGGCGAGTGGAACGTGCTGGAGTGCTGGAAACCCAGCTGCACGAGCTAACCCAGAGCATCTCCAGCCTGCAGCTGGAGCAGCAAGATACAAGGCACAAGCTGGACAATTTCCAGCAAAGACTGGAACAGGCAGACTGGGACATGCCTGGCAGCATACCGCTGCTTAGCAGCCAGTGCCAGGCAACGCTCAGACAGCTGGAGGACCTGGGGCGGCACGTGGAGCTGGAGGAGTATCATAAGAGCATCTTGCAGAGCGACTGGCTGCTGGAGCTGGAGCTCAGACCATGTCTTATTCGGCAGCTTGATGCAGTAAGAGGCTTAGCTGCTGTCACAGGTCACAAATCTCATCCCTGAATGGTGTGCGGGTGTTGCCACGTTCTGGAGGGTCAGGCGCATCCCCCCCCCGCCGCCCACACACACACAGTGAGGACGTGGGCCTGTGTTTGTGGTGTGGGAGCCTCTGGGTTTCTGTGGGCCTGAGTGTGTGAGTGAGCATGTGTATGCGAGAAGGGGCATGGGGTGTCTGTGGGCCTGAGTGCATGAGAGAGGGGGCCAGGAGTGTGTGTGGGCCTGAGCATCCGAGTGAGCATGTGTATATGAGAGAGAGGCCCTGGGGTGTGTGTGCACACATATTGATGCACATGGGCCTGTGGGTGCAAATGGCCATGTGGGGCACAAGGGAGACAGTGCGTGCTGAGACTGAGGGCAGCAGGAGGGAGCAGGGGCGGGGCCATCTAGTAGGAGAAAGGGGTTCCTGCAAGGGGAGGGCATGGCTTCTCAGGACAGATGGGACAGCCAGAGGGGAATCCTCATAAATCCTCTGCCACGCAGCCTGTATGGCCAGACCCTGCTGTCAGTACAGGGGCCAGCGCACGTGTGACGCCTTCTTCTCTTCCCCAGTTGCAGCAGCACTGCAGAGAGCTGGAGCAGTCGCTACAGGCCGGGGACCAGGCCACACTGCAGCATCTCCTGCCAGCAAGTAGGACGGACTCTGCTTCCCTGTGTGACTCAGGGCATTGCTCCACCGCGTCTCCCATGCCGACAAATAAAGCCTGAGTCCTGCCTTTGGAGAGGGACAATGGCAGGAGGGACTGGACCCCATTTTGCTGCCTCTGTTAATTGATAGACTCTGTGTATATGTGTACTGCTCAATGCACGTGTGTGTCTGCCCCCCCGCCTGCTGCTGGATGGAGTCTGACCTGCATCTCTGACCTGCCTTCCAGGGTGGGAGACCCACAGCTGCTGCTGCCAGCGGCAATCTGAGATTTGGGGCACATGTTTCAGGAACAGACGTTAAACCTGGAAAGTGAGAGCAGGAAGGACTCAGCTCCCTAACTTGTGACTGCAAGGAATCGCGGTATCTGCCCAGCAGAGTCCAGGCCCCCTAGGCCAGCTCAGCGTTCCTGAAGAACAAGGCCAAAAGCCTTGAGCAGCCAGCATCCGCCCCCCCCTCCCCGCAGTGTATGACTCAACTTATCCTTCCCTGCAGTGTCCCTGTCATCCAAACGCTCAGCCCACATGCCACCTGGGACCCACATAGCACCAGCTCCAGACTCTGCCACCAGAGGGGGCAGGAAATGCACCCGGGGGGTGTGTGTGTGTGTGTGTGTGTGTGTGACACAAAGCTGTTCCAGTTGCCTAGGGCTGGAGCTATTCAAATTAAATGCCATCAGCAAAGGTCTGGGCCAGCCTAGTTCTAGGGCCCCCATCCTCAAATTTAGCAACAGCACCCCCAGTCTGGGCCCTAAGAGCACCCTGCTAGGGATCTTTGCCCCCCCTATTGCTTCCCCATGACCCCAGACAGCATGAGTTAAAATGGTGTCCTCTGCACAGTGTGACTTTGCATGCACCGTATCCATGGGGTCACATTGTATGGAGGATGCCAGTTATCAGCCCAAAATGGCATCCTCTGTCCACTTGGGCTTGCCACTGCCACTGATGGAACGACCCCACTTGGGACCACGACCCAGACTTTGGGAACTGCTCCGCTTGCCCTTTGTAACCTGGTTGATGTAACCCACCTCTCAGGCCCTGTTTGGCCAGGCTGAGACTTGCATGTTTGTGGAGTTTACATCCTTGTCCTGGGCACTGAATTCTGCTGCATGAGTCTGGGGTAGCGGGAGACTGGGCAGCCTCTCCCATGACCCCAGGGTCCAGTCATTGCCGCTGTAGGCAAGATTCCCCTGTAACGCCAAGCAGTTCAGCGCCGCGGCAGATGCTGGTGATGGTAGAGCGCGAGCAGCTAGCCTTTCATAGGTGCCGCCCCACCTCAAGGGTCGGGCCAGGCTCTACAAATGGGTAAAGCCAGGCAACTGAGGAGAAATCGGAGATGGGGAAGGGAAGGGACTCCGCCAAGGCAGCACAGGGCAGAGCTCAATTAGAATCCAGGTGTCCCGACTAGCCCTGCACTAACCTCAAGACTGAGTGCGCAGAGCCAGCTGAAAGGGCGCGTGCTTCATGTAGGGCTGGGGGCTGAGTGTCTGCCAGCCAGGAGACCCAGCTGGGTAGGTCCTGTGGGCTCCTCTTTGCCATGGAGCTGGGGGCAGTGAGGGCCTTGGCTCTGTGGGGCTTCCTGCAGCCCTGCTCTTCTCACCCCTTCACCATTTTCTGAGTGGTACCAGTGGGTCAGAGCAGGAATTCAGTCCCCTGGCATCCCCCACCCACAGCTCTGTGTGGACATTAGGCTTAAGTGCCACTTCCAGGGGTTCCAGGCCATGGGTGGTGAGGGGTGGATGGTGTGGAAACATGATCAGGCAGCCCCAGTGGTCTCCCGGATCTGCTGCCATGGAGGAGCAGCCGTTCCCTTGTGGGCTGTAGCATGCAGAGAGACTTGGAAGTTCAGTTCCTGTGAAGGGTTTATTGGTGCAGCCATTTCCACTATAGATAGAGGAGTCACAATGCACAGCCAGGCTGGCAGGGATGCAGCAACAGCAGGCCTCCTACACTACACAGAGACAGGACACGCAGCCACAGACAGACAGACATCTCCTAACCAGGAGGCTTCACTGGCATCACAGGGGCTGTTGATGTGCCAGACTGTGGCCTGGCGGGAGCAGGACCCTGGCTCTGAAGGCTCCCCTCCACCTGGCTGGGTATCCATGTGGCCATAGTGTCTGAGCCTCCCACACCATAATGAGCACCCCCATGCGTGAGGTAGGGAAGGATCAGCCCCATTTCACAGATAGGAAACTGAGGCAGGGAGAGTCAGTGGATTTGCTGAGGTCCCACAGGAAGTTCTGGTAGAGGCCGGACTCCCAGGCCAGCGCCTGTACCACAAGGTCCCCCCTTCCTCTGATGCCTGTGTGGAGGGGCTGGGGCGCCTGCCTTCTCTGACTTTGTCACATCAGGGCCTCCTGCCCCACCGAGCGTTGGTACTGGTGACCTTCGGGCTCCATGGAGCTGCCAGGTTACCCTACTACAGGCCGTGAGCACTACTGGTGATCTCCTCAGCAGAGCTGGCGAGAGCTGGGCTCTTAAGGGCCCAGGCAGTAACCCACTTGAGGCTTCAGACCCTGATGTCTGGAGAGACCTCGGGCCTTCCAGGTGTGAAGACATTCAGGGTTGCCCAGGGACAGGCCTGGGTGCCAGGGGCTCTGGCTCCAGCCACTGTGGGTGGCCCAGGTATGGGAATAGGAGAGGTGGGGAGCCACAGCAACCCAGTCACCAGGAGCATGGGTGGCCCAGTCACTGTGGTGGAGGCTATGTGTCCTGGTGACCCCAACACCAGTGCTGTGGATGCCTGCTGCTGGCTGCAGCCCATGTGGGCAAAATGCCATGTAGTGGGAGACAAGGTAGGGGAGGGAACATCTTTTATGAGATCTGCCCCCGTTGGTGAGAAAGGAGCTTTCGACCGGAAGAAGAGCTCTGTGTAAGCTCCTAAGCTGCTCTCTCACCAGCTGAAGTTGGTCCCATAGAAGTTCCCTCCCGCACCTTGTGTCTCTAATATCCTGGGACGGACGTGGCTACAACCCCGCCGCATGCTCAGTGGGAGACACTTCCTCTGGAAGCCCTCTCAGCCCTGCCTGCTCTAGGAGGCCCCTCCTCCTGCCGCTCCTTCCCTTGCAGACATCACAATCCTTAACACACATCACAGCTGGTTACTGTGGGACTGCCCATGACCTCAGACCCCTCCACCCCAGAAATACAACTTGGAGCGATCAGCAGGGAGGGCAGGCACCAGGAAGGGACTCGGACAGGCAGGGGGATGGGATTTGAACTCCTTGAAGCTCAAGAGTGGAAGCCCCTGCCTATCCACAGGGAAACCGCCTGCAGCTGGGACACAGAGAGCTTGGGGCAGACTGGACACAGGCTCCTGAGTTGCCCTAATCCTGGCCCCGCTGTATAGGACGTTCTGCAGCCCAGGATGGCACAGAAGCTCTGTTAGAAACCAGGCAGGGCAGTCTGAGGTGCAAAGTAGCCCATGACAGGGAGTCGTGCAAGGAGCCCACTTGTGTGCCCGCTAAGGCAGCTGGGCAGCCCAGCTGGGGGCGGCAGAGCAGACGAGTCTTGCCCTGCGCAGGCAGAGTCCGGCCGGGCACCGAGACTGGGACTCTGTGTGGGGTCCATGCCTCCCTCAGACTCCATGGAACGTGGAGCTTGGGCTGGCATTTGGAGGAACCAGAGCTCTGTGGTGAGTGGATGGGAGGTGGCGGCTCCCAGCTGCATGGCCCCCCTTTGCTAACCCACATACCAATGCAGCCTCAGTCTCCAGTGAGGGAGACCCATGACCAAAGGGAGTGTAGGCCCCTACAGAGACTCTGGATGTGAGAAGTGTCTCCCACTGGGTCCAGGTGGAGACAAGCTCACGCTTCCACTGTGCGGGTGGGGGCGGGAACAACCCTGCCCACCTCCCTCCAGGGTTCCGACACAGCTGCTCTTTGGTCCAGACAGGAAAACATCTGACGTGTAGTAAGTTCAAAGCCATTTTGATTGGTCCTTAGCCAGGGAGAACGCGTGGGAACGAGCAGCTTTCCACAGGGAGGGGGTGGAGCCGCTCACACAGGCATGTGCATCTCATTGTACTCGTCCCGGCCATCTTCGTCAAAGTTCGGCTCTGCGTCCTCCGAGTCCAGCTGTGGGCAGAGATAGAAGCTGGGCAGTGGCATGGCAGCGACCAGAGCGGGGCTTCTGGTAGCCATCCCACCAAACTCAGACACCAGCCCAGGAGCAGGAGCCAGGGCCCTAACTCACCCTGCTGGGGGGATGTTGGTATCGAGCGCTTTGCTCATTATGTCGCAGGACACTCACGTTGTCTCCTTCCCCTCCCGTGCGACCCATTCCTCCCTCCCCACTCTCTGGCTGGTGTCCTTCCCCGGCCATTCCCCTTCCCCTGGCAGCTTCAGTGCTCATGGTGCTGGCCCCTCTGCTAGGCAGCAGCTGCCCTAGGGAAGGCAGCGAAGCTCCTCCACACCTCCAGCTGTTGATGCAGGCTCTTCTCTGTGATGAGGACCCTGGACGCCACCCACAGAAGATGGAAAGAGGCCCCAGCCCCATGGCTCTCAGTCTAGAGAGCCCTGCTTTTGACAATACCAAGGTCCAGGGAACTGGGTGTATTGGTTGGGCTGTCCCAGCCTTATCCAGGGAGGGGAAGGCCAGATAGCACCAGACCAACCTCACCAGATCCAGCAGCCCTGACCATGAAGAGAGAGATGGAGCAGGGAGCCCCCGTTCCAGGCTTCTGCTTGGCATCTGTGCCCTTCCCACACCCCAGGCTATGAGCTCACTGGGGCAAGAGCCCCTGGCTCTGTTTGAAAGTGCTGGGACCAGATAAATCACCACCCACAAGAAGCTGGAGAAAGCTCCCAGCCCCTCTGAGCAGGCAGTGCCCCACATGCCAGCTGCCTGAGCGAACTGAAGACAGCCCAGCCCTGGGGAGATGGATGCTGTCACACAGAGCTGCTTACGGCTTTGAGCTCCCGGTCCTGAAAGAAGCGGGGCAGCAGGAAGCGTCGTAAGGGCACCGTCATAATCAGGACAAAGGGGAAAGCTAACGAGGCCACTGTTGATTTCACCACCCAGAGCACCACGATGCAGGCCAGCTGAATGCAGGTGAAGAGGTTCATTCTCCAGGTCTTCACCTGGGGACACAAGTCCAGCCTAGCAACGCACCATCCCTCAGGGACATAAGCCACCTCCCACTCCAGCCTGCGCGTCGCCCCATCCACTTACAGCTGGCTCCCCACCTACAGCACAGCCCCACTGAATGCTCAGCCCCTCCAGCCCGTGCGTCACCCCATCCACTCATAGCCAGCTCCCCGCCTACAGCATGGCCCCACTGAATGCTCGGCCCCAGTGCCCTGTCTACAGCACGGCCCCACTGAAAGCTCAGCCCCTCCAGCCTGCGCATCGCCCCGTCTACAGCACAGACCCACTGAATGCTCAGCCCCTCCAGCCCGTGTGTCGCCCCATCCACCCAGAGCCAGCTCCCCGCCTACAGCACGGCCCCACTGAACGCTCGGCCCCAGCTCCCCATCTACAGCATGGCCCCACTGAACGCTTGGCCCCAGCTCCCCGTCTACAGCACGGCCCCACTGAAAGCTCAGCCCCTCCAGCCTGCGCATCGCCCCGTCTACAGCATGGCCCCA